ATTAAAATGTGGTAATCGCAATTCTATTCCGGCGTAATGTGTGAGTGTCTGTAAAAACGAGCATCGTCTCTTACGTGTGAACGAGACTACTTTCTCAAGCACGCGACCGCCGTCACTTCTCTTACTTTCTCCTCTGAGCTGCTTCAAAAGTAGGTCCCAAATAGGATTAAGCGATCTTTTAAAGACCTTGCCACTCGATCTACCGACCGCAGACTTCTTTCCTAATCTCCTTCATCTCGCGAATCTTTAAATTATTCATCAAACTTTAAAAAACTCTCAACGAGAGTTTCTAAGATCCTTTCTTAGAACGAAATGGATGGAGGCTTATTAAAAAAACTATAATTTTCAAACTAAGCGTCCCAAACTATAGCCTCGCTGCAATTGGTCGATTTTGAAGTGTTGTATAATACATAAATCAAAGTGAAATTTCTATAAATTATGAAACGAGGCTTACGAACAGGAGGATTAAGAATCACGACACGAAGTGTTAGTCAATGGTTTGAGTGAAATTGAATTGTAAATATTTTACACTGAGGTTTATATGTATAGTCGCTAAACTGGAGTGAAAGATGTCGAAATCGTCGAATATATCATTTAAAGTAGTATTTTTATAACTTTTTGCTCTTTATAGTCGAAGTACACGTCTTTGCCTTCAAATAATCGGTGGCTTTTTGAGTAATGGTAGTCCCACTTCCCCAAGTAAACAGTATAAAATATTTTTCACTTAATTGTTTAAAATGTTTTTATGTTTTTGTTGTGAGAACGTACAAGGATGACAGAAAAAGTGAAATCAAACAACATTCAAACAAACAACAATAAAAAATAGTAAATACTTTACAAGACCATTGTAGATGACAAGAAAAGAAAACGCTTAATGAAAGAAAATAAACCATCAAAGGAAAAGACAAAAAACTTTACGGTAGAGAATAAAAGAAAAATTGGACCTAATTCTTACCTAAAATAATAAAAAATAAAAATGGTTCAAATTAGGGAACTAAATTCCAAGAATTGTACAACTAACGCTATTTTGAAAATATTTTTTTGTAATCAAGCACATAGCGTTTGAACCTGTTCCATCAGATTTATGTATCAATTACGCTACCAAAATTGTTCTCAAATTGCACTTCCTTAAGTGGTAAGGTACTTCTTTTTTTAGTTTTTATGATTAAAAAAGTACAATTAATTTAACATGATTTTTCAATTTTTGCTTTAAGTGGTTCACTGGTGTATTCCCTTGCAAAAAATTCGTTTTTTTTCAAGTCACACGACGGAAAGTGGAATTCCAAGGGTTGAAGAGGTCCCACCTTCCTCGAGGATCATGTGTGACAACGTTTGCGCGCGTTTGTCCGACTTTCTAATCGATACTACGGTATTGTTTCCTATCGAGGGTGACTCGGTGGCCTGCTCCGGTTAATTCCACGATACCGGTTGTGCGTTCAATTACCCCGGTGAAACACGCGTTCCACAGTAGACTGCATCTCCTCGCTAGGACGTCGCGCGCCAGCTCTTCGTCGCTCCTCCATCATCTTACTTTCGTTGCTTTCGACGCAGAGCCATGGCCGGCGGTTCGACCGGCTGGCTCTCTTCGTTTTCATCGGCGAAAGTGAATGGAACGCGTCGATGTTTCTAATTGGCCTATCGCCATTCGACACTCGGAGCTGCACGCTCGTAATCGATATCGCGATGCAAACGAACACTGCAAAAATCTCTGCGCGAAGTTTCGTCGACTCTGAAAGGGACATTCGCTTTACCTTCGAACGTCCCTTAACTGAGTATCCCCATCCAGGCCACAAATTTTTATTAAAGGTATTTTTTTTTCCATTCAGTTTGAATCCATACTTTTAATTAAATACAGATACAATCTGTTAACAGAAATAATTTCTTACTTTCATGCGAGGTACAAAAGAAACAGAATAGATGGTATTATCTGTAATCTTCTGGCTTTTCGAAACTTTAACATTCACAATTTCGCGATGGTTTTGCACCATATTAAGATTCTTGGGATTATGAATTTTGATCAGGAGTACGGTATAATATTATTTTTCAATTAAAATCAGGTTCATGATTTTATACATAAAATACAGAAGAAATATTGTAATGAAGTCCCCATATCTTTTGAAGGCGACTGCAAAACTATTAGAAAGTGATGTAGGAAAGAAAATTAGTAAGTAGGCGATTCGAAGAGCATTAAAAGAAAATAGACTTGCTCTATCAAAAAGGAATGTCAAGGCCCAGTTGAGTTGTGCAAAAAAGTATGTAAAATGGAGTATCAGGTTATTGCTGGTGATGGAACAAGATGTTTCTAATATCATTCGGAAACAAAGCCAAAGAACCATGTAATTACATCATTATGACAACATTTCAAACATCTAAAACTATAGTTGTTCAATGCATTGGTTGACCGTGCAAATCGTCGTATGGGCACAGAAGCATCTTTAAATATATTAAGTCAGCAATAAATATAGTACTTTGAATAAAGTAAAACATTGTTCTGCAAAGATTGTTGCATTTTGAATTTTGTTAAGAAGTTTGGTTATTTGTTTCATAGATCGTGTATGTTTTTGTCAGCCATTAAGAACGTCACAAATTGATCGTTCTACCGGGAATAAATTGATCGTTTATTTATTATATATTCTCATAAACATATTTCACGACTGTAACATAGTGAGTACGCTGGTTGACTCGCGAAACAATAGTAGTAAACTGTATCGAAGAGTAGTTCGCTCGAAATCCGCGAAACGTTTACAGAAACGAACGTGTCTCGCATTTCCTGAATCGTTTAATTATCGCGAACGAACCGTACCAATCCGAGATCGTTCGAGCACGCCGCGCTTGACCGAGAAATTAAATGTTATTGTTATCGCTTTTGCAATTTCCAAGCTCCGAGAAAAAGAACGAAATGGCCACTCGAATGGCTTCAAAAGTAAAAACCGTAAAAGCAAATGAAATAATCAAATCTGAATTCGCTTGTTCGATTGCGATGGGAATTTGTTGCACTCTTCAACGGAGACTACGGGAAATAAAAATAGAATGTCTGCAAAAAGAAAGTAATGTAACGGAAAAGCTATCGAAATTCTCTGTACTTGGAAAATACGAAAAAAAAATCATTTAATTTCAATTTTATAATCTTCCTGTATAAATGCGTTTTCTGATTCTATCGCGCTAATGGTTTTGAGTAAATTATCTTCTCTTTTTGGAATTATTTATTCGGGTTGGAAAGGGTTAAAATACAAACAAGTATCTTTACAAAACTTCAATGGCTTGGGTCCAATAATTTCTCTCTTAATTACAATAGTTCGTGAAGATCAATAACCAGACCAAAGTTTCAGAGATTTCTTAAGTTGTTTGATGGTAAAAAATTGTGATATCGCGTTAAATAATTAAGCAGTAATATTAAGTGAGGCGAAGTAACTGGAAAGAGGGCTCGAGGGAAGAAAGAGATTTATAAAATACCGGAAAGTAGAATTTCCCGATGGGCCGACCTAACATGCACCTCTGCTACTGATTGCCCGGCTAAACTTTTGCAAAAATAATTACAACGTGTTAACCTACGCGAAAAAGCGTTATTGTTCCCTTAAGGCAATCGAGCTTGCCTCGAAAGTTGCTCGCAAAGTGAATTACTACAAAAAAACTGTCTCAGTCGTGACCTACTAAATGATATAACGCTTTGCAACTTGCAAGTAAATATTTTTACGTCTCGTTGAATTATTTGTGAAAAAAGAAAATCGAGAATAGCTTAGAGACAACTACATCTATTTCTTGACATAATTGCTTAATTAGTTTCCATGGAAATTAATGCTTGTTTTGAGTACTTTATGTTCAAATATACATATAAGTAATGATTAAAGTCTAATTTCATAAAATAAAAGGTTAAAATAAATAATTATTTTATCAGGATAAATTAACAAACTTTTCTTCAAACAAAAACTTATTTAAGTAGTTTGAAAGAATATTTTTAAAAGTGCAGAATATTACGTCAAATGCTTGCTTTCAATAAAATGTTCATCTTCGGCGTGTTCGAACGAATTTCTCGGTATATTAAGACCCTTAGACCCGATTAAAAATTAGCCATTATTACGGAGAAATTATGCGAAAATTCGAGGGGTGCCCGTCAGATCGATGGACCAACCACGATCTCTGTTGTGCGTCTTATAATCTCTCATCCCTTCGTTTATTTTGTTTTATTTGCAGAAGAATAGATAACGAGTCTTCCAGATATCTGCAAGAAAAGAAAGAAAACATCGAGAGTTCTTCTTTGGAGACAATGTACGTAACTCCAAAAAAGATCTCTTTGTGCTTCGTATTTTCAACAGATTTTTAACCCTTACATCGTTACAGAGGACTTTAACAATTATAGATTGAAGATTGGGGATTAATCTTTTAAACTGAACATTCTTAATAATTTGTCACAGGTTTTTCATAACATTTTTAACATAGTTAACCTAATATTTAACTAGCTGAATACAAGAAATCAACAAAGAATAATTCGTGTGTAAACTATATGTAAGCAAAACTTAATATAGTTAAATAAAAAGCTAATTATTTGTACTTGAACTTCCATTAATTTGACAAATAAATGCAGAGATTTAAGTAAAAGTTCAATACGTGTAAATTACTGTAAAAACTCTCATAAAAATCAAAACCAAAAGACTTCGTGTTTGAAAATACATTTTCGACGTTAGAAGTGACTTCAATGCCAGATTAAGCACCGAATCGATCTGATTAATAAATTAAACCCTAACTGTTTTCAGCTCGCTATATGTATATACACTATCGTGAAATTAACATGATTTCGTCACTGAAAAAACATTAAATGCATCTTGTCGGTAACTTAAAAATGGAAATAATATTTAGAATCAAAGAGTTAGTTTTCTGTATCTGGTTCATTCTCTACTTTATTGTTCTATTTCTATTTTCCTTTCTCACTTTTAAGAAATACGTTTTATTTAGGAAACTTGACAGAATTCAGATAAACAATACAGACCGATGAAACGATAGTCTTAAGTCAGTAGATCGGGATCGTTCACGTTACTCGCGTCGTTCTGTTGTTCGAGATTTACTTCGTTTACGTGATCCATGAAATCCAAGACGGCGCTGAATCGATTCACCGAGGAAACAGTCCGATAATCTGGGGAGGATCGTTTCCCGTATCGACTACCCCAAAAGAATCGATCCACCCTTGGAACCACTTGTACCAGTTTGGGCAACGATTTCCCGTCCTTTTGAAAACCGTCACTGCGTCCGTACCTGCTTCCCAACGGGAACAGATTACCTGCAATTCAAATGTATCTCTATGAAAAATAATCTAGAAACTAACAAATCAACTTCACTTCTTTTTAAATTAAATGACACTTCGCTTGCAACATATACCTTTCAAAGTGATATTGTTCTCTTGTAAACTCATAAAAGTGAATAACATTGGCTTGAAACATTTTTTCTATTGTACATAATTACAGAGTCAAGGCGAAAAATATTTTTTTATAAACATACAACTTCCAACTGCTTAACTCTATAACCATGCACGATAAAGAAATTAATTTTAGCGAATATTATTCAGTTTTATAAGTTTTGACAAAAGAACAATTTCATTTAATACTAGAAAGATTATAAAAAATTTACTCGATTGAACTTCTGAAAATTTTCTATAAAAGAATGAAGAAACATTTATTTCTGTTGCAATATACATTTCTTCGAGTATCTATCCTTTTAGTTTCTTTGGTATAATAAATATAATAATTCTACTGCACTAGACCACCTAATTAATACGTTGACTGCCAGAAATTTTCTACGAATTCCAAATTTGTCGTAGTACTTATTTTTGTAACCTCGTCGAAATTCATTAGAATTAATTTTTTTAACTCCTAAGTGAAAAATTCTATCACCCAAATAAAAGCAACTTCCAACACCATATTTGGGCCACAAAGTATAGTATACATATAAGGTGTCTTACGATAAAAGCAATTTGAAATAACATTTAAACTGCTAATGTTATACAATAATAGTAGAAGAAATAAAATTGGAAATTCTAGTATAGAGAAAATGTTAACCTTGTTTAGTGACTGACTCCCGGAATATTCCGGATATTTTAAGAAATTTATAAATCCTACATATTTTCCCGAGATTAAATGAACTTTCAGAAAGTCAATGTTCCAAATTCCACCCTCGACCGTCCCCCAAATCCGAAAAATGTTCTCGAAGTTCTATTTGCTGCACGGAGTCCAATATGATGGAGTTGTCCATAGTTAATGAATTGTCTCATTATCGAATCCGAGACCGAAAGTGAATCTGTAAACGAAAGCATAAAGGACGTCGTCGGTGAGACAATAACAATTATTAACGCCTGACACGAATTGACGAGCATCGTCTTCGACGGTTCATGGAAAACACGAGCATTTGAAGAAGAGGGGAATTATTCGCGAGGAGTATTTTTAATTGGAACTGGCCAAGGAAAAAAATTCAGAGAATGATCAATTAGCATACGTCGAATGCGACAAAAGAGGGTTGATCGAAAGGACCGATCACACGGTTCCATTCGCGTTCGAATCGTATTCCGTGCGGAAAGATCATGTAACCGGAAACCTGGTAAGGTCTAATTGGAGACGACATCATTGTTCACCCATTAAACGATTGTACCGTGTCTGATTACAGAATCGCGAAAACAGAGGGTACGAACGGGAAGAAAATTACTGGACACCTTTTACACGTTTCCAGTTCCTGTTCGACGCTAGAAATGAACTCAGATCATTTCTGTAACCGGCGACCAATCGGAGAACAGAGTTAAAATACGACACAGTCTGTTTCTGAAACTTCGTTTAATAGCATGAAATCGTCTAGCAATTAATATTTTCATCCAGCTCCGTTTCATTATTCTAAGAAACGTGTACAGTATGTAATTTTGTACTCATTGAAATCTCTATTTAAAGAAGTTATATAATTAAAGCAGTTCCAAAGTATTATTTGGCTATTTATAAAAAAGTTATAGTGAAAATTGTATTCAATTTTATTCAGTTTCGTTGACCTTTTTATTGCACCATTTGTACCCCCATTACTGACCAACTATATTTTCTACTATACTTGGAATAAATTTTTGATAAATTTCTATTTAGTGATGTAATAAACAGTTACTATTAATAATGGATGAAAATTGTGCATTTTATTGTTTATTATGTATGTAAAATTGTACATGTTTACATTTTTAAATTATACAGGGTGTTCGGCCACCTCTAGCAAAAATTTTAATGAGCGATAGTAGAGGCCAAAATAAGACAAAAATCAAGAATACTAATTTGTTGATGGAAGCTTCGTTAAAAAGTTATTAACGTTTAAAGTGCCGCTCTTACTGAATTTTTTTCTCGAAAATGCGCAAGATTTCGGGGGTATGTCTACTCACCAAAAATGACTGTACTTGAACCCTACAACCGAAAATAATTTTTCCACAACGATTTGCAATTTTTTAATTTTCTCGAATAATTTCACACCTTCTCTATTTTTTTTCTCGAAAGTGGGCAGGATTTCGTGGGTATGTCTAATGACAAAAACTGATTGTAATTGACCCTCGCAACCGAAAATAATTTTTCCACAACGATTTGCAATTTTTTTTCTCCGTTGAAAAATTTAGGCACCTAATTGGATTTTCAGTAAGGAATTTTTTTCTCGAAAGTGCGTACGATTTCGGAGGTATGTGTAATGATAAAAAATGATTGTAATTGATCCCCGCAACCGAAAATAATTTTTTTAAAACGATTTGAAAAATTTTTTTTCGCCGAAAAATTTCAGCACCTACTCGATTTTTTTTCTCGAAAGTAGATAGGATTTCGGAGGTATGTGTACTCACCAAAAATGATTGTAGTTGACCCCCGCAACCGAAAATAATTTTTCCAGAACGATTTGAAATTTTTGAATTTAATTGTTAATAACTTTTTAACGAAGCTTCCATCAACAAATTAGTATTCTTGATTTTCGTCTTATTTTGGCCTCTACTATCGCTCATTAAAATTTTTGCTAGAGGTGGCCGAACACCCTGTATATTTCATTATCTAACTATTTATATTAAACCACTTTTTTCCGGTATTGACTTTTGTTTTTCGTTTTTTCAATCTTCTTGTTTCGTTTCCACCATTGTATAAGCGGAAAACTTATTCAAACTTTTCTTAGAGTCGTAAGTAACCGATTAGTGGTGTTCGTTTTTTAGCGACAATTTTTATCACTCCTCTAACGAAAATAAAAAATTTTATATTAGATTTGTTATCGTGCCTTCGTGAGATTTTTCTAGTAAAAATAACTTCAAAGAGGATTCTGTCCAACCAATTTTTAACTACACGTAGTTAAAAGCTTTTAAAAATGATCCCATTAACGTGTAATTAAAAATACTAGAAATAGGGTGTTGTTCGGACTCATTTTCATCGAAAAAACATAGCCAATCCAGTGATAGTAGTCTTATAAAGATTTAATGATCTATGTTTACTCAGTCTTCTTTGTTTTTCTGAACTCCATTAGCTAATTGAGACTTTCTTTATAGTTCCGGTGTACACCGTATACAAACGTAAATGCAATAAAATATTAAATAGCTCAAAGATTGTAGTACGCGGTTTAGGGTTTTCGATTTACGGATTTGTTTGCTCAATTTTTTACTAAATATGTCTAACGATCCAGTGAAATCATGAAAATGACTATTCAAAAATCTTATTTTTAACCTTTAATATGTTATTGACCAATTTTAAGGCCACATCCTTGTTCGAAGAACGTGCAATGCGGTTATGAAAGTTTCTTTTTATGCTTCGTACATGAAATGTGAATTACAGAAATTAGAAGTTTTTGTTTTGTGGGTGCGTCGTGTATTGTTTCTACTTTCTACATCGCACAAATATGAAGTGATGAAACGAACTGCTTGAAATTTAACTATAAAATGCTTCATTTTTAAATACATGCCCGTGTAATAATAAAAACAAGTGTTTTGAATTTTGTTCATACTCGTTTTTCTTTTAGAGAAACAAGTGTTGTACTTTTGTAAATATTTTATTATGGTATGGATTAAAAGGATGACTTAACGAAAAAATTATTTTCAACCTGCCAATGTTTTTTGAGGTGCTTAAGAATGTCGAGAAAAACACTACAAAACTAATATAAAAAGTACAAAATAGTTTTGTAATCTCTTTGAAAAAGTAGGTGAATCTGGTACAATTATACGATAGCTGAAACTAGGACAGTAGCATTAAACTCTTAACTGTGATCGACTCTTCTCATTACACGCTTAATTTTAACTATCACGAAGTCTAAGAATTTGCATCACATTGCCTCGTAAACAGTAAGTGATACTTGATGCAATAAAATTAAAATATCATAGAACAACTTATAAAACATAATCTTATAACTCTGTGTCGTAATAACTCAAGAAGAAGCTGGTCACAAAGTACTCTAAAAGTTCTAGCTTTTTAAGCACAATCAGCATCACAATGTTATAAAAATTCCTGACATCGAGTGCAAAATCTGATCAATTTTCTGTGAAATGTCTCATTCAAGTATGATAACTAAATACATTGTACAGTAGAACCTCGATTATCTGATCATTAACTAGAAATTTTTATTATCCAGACAGTGTCGTCTAGGAAACTAAGAGAAATATTCTATCTATGTAGCTTCCACTTTTACATTTTAATACACAGGGAAATTAAATTTAATGAGAAATTCTAGAGGTGAAAATAAGAGGAAAATCAAGAATAACAATTCGTTGATTACAACAAACGCCCATGTGACATTGTATTAATTTGATTTGCATAAGGATGAATTTCTTCGACGTTCTATAGAATCTCTTTGAAGTTTTCTGTTTTACTTGCAAGGGTAGTTTATTTCCTACTAAACTGCCTTTAATGTCAACCAAATGAAAAGTATACTATCCGAAGTATACGTCCTGTACCTTAATTAGATGAAATAATTGTGGTACCACTGTATTTAATAATTAAGGTGACCGTAAAAAATATCGTAAATTATGGAGAAACTTGTAACTCACCCGCACGTGACTCGTGTCGTTTTCCATACCGGAGGGTGTAGAAATTCGGTTGGGAAGCGACCAGGGTTAAAATCGCACACGCAATCCACAAACACATCGCGAACTCAACGCTACCGAAACACGGCACCAACTGAGCCCTTTTACCTCGCGAGAGCATCCTCTTGCCTGCAAAAACAATACCCAAATATTTTCACCGATATCTGGCTAACCATTCTCCACCCCATCCCCTACCTCTCGAACCCTTTCAACGATTCGACAACAAAACGTTTACCTGCAATCTTGGGAATCCAACTGATTTTAACGAAAACACTTAGAAACATTCGATCGTGTTTAGAATCCATGACTCCAGATCGAAATCATTTTCTATTGATCCTTTAACAATCTAATAAATTTACGAAAAGTCATAAGAAAAATGCCCATTTTTATGGTTCAAAATTTATTCTGAAAGTTATGTATACCAAATTAGACCTTTTGCCAATCATATTCATCGTTCAGAAAATCAAATTCATCTTGCAAGTGACTCAAAAGTGAAGTAATACAGTGTCGTTTATACAACCATTTTGTCGGTTTTTTTATGATTTTATTCATAATTTTTCACAATTTTTCTGTAAACGAAATCTATGACATGACAATATTTCTTATAATACAAAGGGGTTATCAATGTCTTTTTTACCAGTATCACTCTAAAACAGATTAGAATAGATTTTTGCATTGTCGATTCTATTAAATGAAGTGTAAGAAAGACATAAAATTCATTGGCATTAGTTTTCTGCCATTTTTTTGTCGTGATAAAATCTGAAACTATCTAGTATTACCTTCATAGTTTGCATGTTTATTTGTTTCGATTATTATCAAATTTGCTAACAAAATTATAACTGAAATCGTAATCTATTCCATATTCTTCGCTGCATGTTAAAGTTGCAAAAATATCGCTAATTGTCGATACGTTTAACTGTATTAAATCATTACTAAAACTATTACTCTAATAATAATACTTTATAAGTTAAAGTAATAAGAGTTTAAAACGTCGTACTGATATCAAGACCAAAGCAAATCTTTTCTTTCAGGAAGTAGACAGAATGCTACAGATAAAGAAACGAAAATGCCTATAAAATGTGAGACATGACATAGTAAACTTAGATATCTGCAGTATAAAAATCAAGAAGAACAATAACACGAACCTACATTCGATTTATATCGACGTCTCAAACTATGTTGCAGATATTCTTCAGGATAAAATTATTTCTGGGATCACAATCCAATTTCATTCCTTTCAACAGAAAATGTCACATTTTTTTTAGTACCATTGAAAGTAGTTTTTAATTCAATGTATGAGAGTTTCACTGAACAATGTTAAGAAAAGTATTTAAAAAAATTTTTAAAAAATGTTTTCTATTAGATAAAAATATTGCTAAGCACCGAATAGTGTGTCGTATATTTGTGAAACTCGACTATAGATCGTACATCTGTCTATACGATCATAAGAGCCTTTCAATTCATGACATAATGCTTTCTTGGCCAAAAATAAATCGAAACAGTGAAATCGAAGTAAAATTTGTTTCCAGGAATCTCTGTTTCCAGTAACCAAGTAATCAGGTTTGAAGATACGTAAAGTACCACATTTCAATATTATTACAATATAAAAGATCATTCCACAAATTCGTGCCGAGTTTTGTACTCAAACTTGAAGTAACGTTTTAAACAGAATTTTATGAAAAACATTAAACCCGATCGTGTATGATCAATTCCCTCCTCTTTCTCCGGTAAAGCTATTACATCGTCGCAATGTAACTTGTTTGATATTTCATTGAAATATTATTCAATGCTGTTCTTTCATACGTTGATATTTTAAAAGTGATTATCGTATAAAATCCATTTATACAATTTTATATATTTAAAATAAATTTCCTTAATAATTTAGCTCGACACTACAAATTGACGAAAAGAAATTTAAATTGTAAAAGAAACCTTAAGAAAGAGTGTATGTTACTTTGTCAACTTCTTCCCTTTTCTTTTTATTAATCGATTTGGCAATAAGTGTTGGTATTTCACGAGCATTGCATATGTAAACAAATTTAAATAAAATAATACACATTTGAAAGATTACTTGTAATTAAATCGTACGGTAAGGAGTTAATTTAACTCGATAAACTATCAAGTGCATTCAAAAACGAATCGTCGATCGATACGACATGAACGCCGAAGCGAGACACACACGGATGCTAGAAATATTGTTATAAAAAATACAGGTACCATAACGATCATAGGAGATAAAACTTAAAACTGAACAAACGGTAATAAGTTTAATAGATGACTAAAACAATGACTGGTAAATTGTTAAGAAACCTGGTGAAACTTGAATCGTTTCTGTAATTCCCCAACATGCCAATTCTCATTGAATATTTACCAGAGGGAATTAAATCCTGACCAGATGGTTCGAACCTCTAACCGACGTTTATCCAGCAATCGATCCCGAGCAATTGTATCACGTTCGAATAATCGTCCCCGAATGCAATTTTCCGCCCTTTCGAACGTTTCTAGTCTAGTCGACGGTCTGCGACGACAGGGAGCCTCGATCGCCGATTAAATCACGCGCGTACTTCGAACGTAAAATGCTTGTCTCCGTCACTCTTCCACCCTTTACCTTCTCGCGGCAAATTATACCCTCATTTCCTGCTTTCGCGATCGGGTCGCGACATCGCCGAAATAATTTATACCATTTTCCCTGCACGCGTCCGAGTACGGTACAAATGACGCCTGTCTCTCTACCCCAGGGACCGTGGAAACTGAAAACTCTGCGACGATTCTACCGGAAACGGAGGGTTCCAGATACGGAGCAACCAGTGTTGCGTACCGGACGCGTCCCGACGAAGAAATAATCCCGGAACTGGTGGCGAAGCAACACGTGAGAGCGACTGCGATGTACCATGATCCGTGAAACGGTTTATATAGTCGCTCCCAACCACCCACGAAGTATTCAGGCACCCCTAACGGCGACCAATCGCGCAACAGCTCGTCCGTGCCCTCTCCTCGTTGACTTCGGATGATATTCTTCCTGACTCGTCGCCGCCTCCGACGAATTAGACACCGGAATCCTCGGATGCACCGGGTCCGCTGTGACGTCAACAACATTTTTCGGACGTTCCACGATCGTTGCAAAAGGATTCACCCTTCTCGTGCCATTGTTCTTCGTTCCCTGTAACTTTGATTTTAACCCTTTATCTGTGAAAGATGTATATAGATTGGTCAGTGTTTTTCGTTAATAATTCAAAAACGAAGCCCCATCCGACATTTTTGCAAAGGAAATTGTTGTTCAGAATCGTCTCAGCTACCCCCCATTTCCGGTTCTTACACTATTTACGGGACACCCTGTATATACGCTCTCATATGTCCATTAACACGTTGATCGCCAGATCAAAACTGTACAATTTTTTATTTTTAATTTAATTAAAATTTAGGAAATTTATTTTTATTTTTAATTGATTTTAGACAATTGTAAACTACATAAATTAGAATTTTTCTTCATAATTATTTTCGTACTCAAATTTATTTCTTTTAACATTTTAGCTTCACAATTAATTGTTTTTGAAAAGTCTTGACCCCCATATATGGATGACGTGACAGTCAAAGTGTTAAGGGAGTATTTTCATTTAGGGGTGTCGATTCCAAGAGATTTTAAAAACAAAGAATTATTATAAAATTACGAAGCAAGAATTTTTTAATTATTTTCATGTATTAGGTCGTTTTTAAAGGTAATACTTTAGAATTTTTATACTATTATCTTTATTATTACGGGAGTTATTGTGTGTATGTTTTCTGCAGTATATTGTTTAGAATGATTGCAATGATATCTCAAAAATCTTCTCGAAATTTTACTCACATGTTAAATAAATATTTCCTTATTATCACGTGTACAATAGTTTTTTTTTATGGCCTGAAGAAGTTACAAATTTTATAACTTTTGACTTTATACGACTTCTATTTCGCAAACAAAATTTTTTTCGTTTCTTTGTGATTCAGACCTCAACGACTTGAACATAAATTAAAATTGTTTTCCAATTGTTTATATCAGTTGAATACAACAAGACAAATCGTAGCTTAAAAAAGATAATAGTATACTTTGAGAGTCTAATCAAAAAACATAATCAAATACATAATGCAAAGTTTCTATTGGTCCATAATTACATAAAATACTTTATACCAAACATCACTGTAAAAAACAACTTCGATTAAACAATTGGATATCGATTATTTTACATGTTAAAATAACAAAGATTCAACAGCATAGACAACTTAAAAACAAGCCAAACAAACCCAAGTTCATTAGTTTTTCACAGATTTCATTCTGATCTGGAAAGCTAGTTTTCTTATTCGCGTATTAAAAATTATTATTAGCAGAAAAATCATATTTTCTTGCTTAATTGTAGAAGATAGACAATTTATTATATTTAAAATGTGTTCTAGATAACGTAATACTAGCGGGTCACCAAATTTTGATTTAATAGGTAATTAAACAATAACATTGCATGTACCTTGTATATGCTTTATATTTAATATTAAATTACTTAATTATCTTATGCAAAAGATGCAAACCGCTCTGGATACATTCCAGATGATTCGATTTTGTCGTGGAAAGAGATAAAACGTCGTTAATGCCATCTTACGATACTAATTCTGACGAGTTAATTGTAATTACTAAAGATAAAGGCAGAAATGCGTAAGATATGAGAAAATATGAAGATGAATATTAGAAAATATACCAAAATTGCTAGAAAAGGATACATTTCCTCGTTAGGTAAATGTGTTAGGCCAAATTTCACAAATATGGAATTAATAAAGCTGTTACAATAGATACCAGAATAATACAAAGATTATTATAAAAATTTAAATTATAACGAAGATTTTTCAAACGAAGAACTAAACAACACAATATTTAATTCTGATTATCTCTTTCTGCTAATAGTTACTTATTTGATTATTAAAAAATAAGAAATACTCGAATTTTACTAAATAGTAACAAATGTTACTATTACGTATCTAAGAAATGTGCATTAATTTTATATCGTCCTATGATTGAACAATTTTTTCAATTGATATTACAAGAATTTCTTCAGTCATAGGATCAATTCATTTTATTATTACTGTTTTAAATACAAA